ATATTTTTTTTTTTTTTTTCTCTCTTCAAATTTTACTCCGTGCATGCGATGGGCAACTTTCACAAAAGAAGGATACATCAACTTCTCATTTTAGGATTTTAGAATTATCAATTATGATCTAATTAATGTAACTTGATGCAATCAAAAGTAACTTGAGATGTTACGTTTTATTACATAAGTGTAATAACTTAGATATTTTTTTATTTAACGCGAAAAAAGAAAGAAAAATTAGAGGAAAGTACGCGATAATCTAATTTACGGGTAAGAATTTAAGATAATTTTTAGCTTATTGTATAATACAAGCGGTAATATAAATTACTTTAAATTACATTATTAATCTATGGGAAATATAATTTGAACTTGGGTACAAGGGGCAGGCTCACTGCCATGACCAATTGATCTAAACTCAAGTAACAGTTGTATCAATAAACAGAATCTTGAATCATGATCATATCATTTTAATGATGGCATCAATTCATAAACAGTTTCCACTCGTGATAGCATTAATCATTTGGATATTTCTTTGTTATTGTTTCAGAAACAATATTAATAACGATAGTAAATCCAATTCCATAGACAAAAAACCAACCGAAACCAGACAAAATCCAGGAGAAATAATTGGCCACAACCCCATAAATGATTCCCATAACAAAAAACTTGTCCAAACTTTCATCAACATCAACCAATCACAATCCACATCGTGCCATGCACATACAATCAAAACCATGCACCTCACAAACACTTTATAAAAACCCTCTCCCAACCCCAACACATAATTAATTCCCCCCAAATCCACCTCCTTCCATTTCCCCAGTCCCCTCCCCTTCTTATTCGTTATTCCTCAATCTTCAACTTCCTCCTAACAGTCCACGCCGGTCAAAACCCATGACCACCTACGGCACGATCCCGACCTCGTCGTCTCCGCAGGGCCCCTCCGGCGAGTACATCTCGCGCGCCAAGGAGCGCATCAAGGCCGGCCTCGGCGCTCGCCGGCCATGGAAGCTCATGTTCAACTTCAGATCCTTCAACTTTCCGTCGCCATTCCGCGAGGTCTTCGGGCGAATCCGATCGAACGTCGCCTACTTCCGGATGAACTACGCGATGGTGGTGCTGCTGATCCTCTTTCTCAGCCTCCTCTGGCACCCGATCTCGCTAATCGTCTTCATCATCATGATGGCCGCCTGGCTCTTCCTCTACTTCCTCCGCGACGAGCCCCTCGTGCTCTTCGGCAAAACGGTGGACGATCGCGTCGTTTTGATAGTCTTGGCGGTGGTGACGATCGTGCTCTTGTTCTTGACCCACGCGACGGTGAATATTTTGGTGGCACTGTTGATTGGGGTTGTGTTGGTGGTTGTGCACGCGGGGTTGAGAAAGACGGATGATTTGTTTGTGGATGAGGAGAACTCTGGCTTGTTGACACCCCCTGCTGCATCATCTTCATCTACTTAATTCAATTCTCTGTTTTTTTTTTTGTTTTTTTTTTCCTTCTATTGGTAGGTTATTTGACTAGGAGTCATCTTAGATGGGATTCCATATGGTTTTCAATCTGCCACAGCTTCTTATTTTTGTGGCTGGTCTGGATAAGTGGTCTTTGGATAAGCACCAAAACTTTCTTTCCGAACATGGACGAACAGTTGGCTGGAATTAGAAGAATGGATTGTGGAAATGTTGCGAGCTTAGACCCTCAGCACTATGGGTTGTATTTGTTGTTTTTGTTCTTAATATTTATCTGCAGTCCATGGGACCCTTTATGATGTATTAAGTTTTAACCTATGGAGTGGTGTACCAAAGGTTGATTTGTATAATTTCAAGTTTCCTGGGGATTGGTTGAATCTGTTTTATATTGAGAAGGTACTGTATCTCCAGTGTTGCTCCTTATGCTCAAAATAGCCAAGTTAGACTTCTTCAGTAGTTATCTATAATCCAATTTCAGGAGTGTGGTTGAGTGGATAATCGGGAGTTGTTATTTTAGCCTGGGCCATTTAGTCTGGAACTTTCTCCAAATTGCCAAGTTGAAGCTTTATTGAAAGTGAGTTGAAGCTTGGGGCTGCTTTTCACGTTCTCAATCCCAAGCCAGTTGAAGTGAGGGAACTGTCAAGGCAGTAAAAATCACAACCCAGAAAATCCCACAACGCACCATATCATCTAACCTATGCCTCAGTATCCAAGCTTACTTTAGGAATAGCATTGCCAACATTAGTCTTCGACTTCGGTGTTGAAAATAAAGCTTGGGAAGACTGTCGTGATGTCCCTGGCATGTCGATAACAGAATTAGAATAGATTTAGAGCGGAAGAGAAAGAGAGATTCAATCATGACACTAATTGACATCAAATGAAAGCAGTTTTCTGGAAAGCAGAGGAATGGCAGAGGAAGATTACTGAATGATCATTGGAAGCAACGGTAAAACCTAAGAAGAATTAAAAGCAGAGGAATGGCAGTAAGCAAGTACTTTAAATGTTGAAGCGTCATGTTCTTTAGAAGTGTTGGGTGCTGAAGAGCAAAAGCTTTCCATTCGTCTTTGCTAATTTTATCATCCTTGTCAGAATCAGCATCTGCAAATGTCTGAGCAACGAAAGAGAACTTTGAGAGTGTAAAACTTCAGAATAAGGGAAACATACAGAAGAAGTTTTAGCATCGGTAATTCTTGCCTTATTGACGATCGCTTCGAGAGTTTCATCTGGCACATGTATTCCAGATTCCAACAAAGTGGCAACTACCATTTGCCTGACCTGAAAGCAACCACAGCTGTTACTTAGAAGTAATACAAGAGATGAAATAATCGTTTGAAAAATTACAATGAATCAAAGTGAAGACATTGCATCTTCCCAACTGCCTTCTTAGTCTTCTAATTTTGGTGTTTTTTTATATTTTTTTATTACTGTTGTTTTCAATGACTAAAGCATTCAGGCAAGAACTTGTTCATAGTCTGCAACACACCAAGATACTTACTTCTTCCCGCTCAATATATCCAGTTTGTCTCAAATCATACAACCTAAATGCGACTGCAAAAAACCCAAAAGAGAGAAGAAGAAAAAAGTCCTTTAACATGAAATGCCTCCAAACATTAAGCAGCTGAAGTTGGATTGTAGAATTCTTACAATCAATCTTGTCTTGAAGAGGAGCACATGGATGAAAAACACTAAGTGCATGGACAAACCCCTCGAATTCAATCACGCCATTTTTCTTTTCGTCGAAAACATCAAACACCTAGATTCCATTTCATCATAGATTGGAAGAAAAAACAGATTAATATGTTGGTTCAGATTCATGTTCCATTTTTTTTGTTTTGTCGAAGTTCCAATTCATTGCAATCACCCAAAAGGGCATAGAACAGTACAAACAAAGCCGGACAAAAACACCGGCCAGAAAACCAATAGGAAACAAACAGGAACAAATCTAGCTAAAACCAGTACAGTATAACATGAAGATCATGTTCCATATATAGTCCACAATTGGATAGAACAGATTAATCTAAACTAGATTGCTCAGAGTCACATTATATAGTTTTTAATTTATAAAAATATAGCATTGAAGGGTGAAATTTCATACAACTCTGCTCACATTGGCAATCCTAATTTCCTGAATCCCATTCAAGCAGTCAAGATGAACTGAATTATCATATCAAATAGAGAGAGAGAGATTTACTTTTTCATCATTGGAATAAAATAAAAATAAAAAAATGGTCTCAATGAACTCACCCTATCCAGGAAAAGATTTTCACCTGCTGGAGTTTTGAATAGCGCCAACCTGAGCTCCTCCTGGAAATGAGAAATTAAAATGAAGTTAATAAATAAATAACCCAGAAGAAAAGAAATAAATTTCATGATCCATGTCAAAGAGATTTAAAAATATTTTAAAATGAAATAAACGAGGGCCCCAATAACCTTGTGAATTAAGCCATCATCAAGAATCGAACTACTCAACTGGTTGAACAATTCGCGCAATGCTTCCACCTCATTTACAGTAACTGACAGTGAAAAGTAAAAAATTTAAAATAAAAAAAAATTAATCGACTGAACAAAAAAACACATTTTTATTTATGAATGAAAGAAGAATTAGTTTTGGGCCTAATAAACCCATGGAGTTATATTGTGACAATACGGCTGCGATTGCAATTGCTCATAATCCTGTACAACATGACCGTACAAAGCATGTGGAGGTTGATCGAAATTTCATTAAGGAAAAGTTGGATGCGCAGATTGTGTCCTTCCCCTTCATCCGTTCAGAGTATCAGTTAGCTGATGTTCTTACGAAAGCTGTTTCTACAAGTATCTTTCTCAACTCGCTTGACAAGTTGGGCATGCGTGACGTCTTTGCTCCAACTTGAGGGGGAGTGTTGGCGAGTCCTAGTCCTATTCTATTTGGGTTTTATTTATTTTACCTTTTGTGTAGATATTATGTAATTAGGATTCCACTTATTTCCTAATTAAACCCTACTAGGGTTTGTAACCTGTATTATAAATACCTCCTTTCGGAGAATGAAATATATCTGAAAATATTCTACCCATATTATTTGACTAAATTTACACACACTATACAGAGATTAGAACTCGAATCCAAAACCTCATATGAAGGGGTAAATACTCCAAATAACTACACTCGTGCGTGTTTGCAATCACGTCATATCTTTTAATTATTGTACGTAAGTGCTAAGCTTTAGAAAGGCCCCACATACTAATTAGAGGTTACAATTATTAACCAAGAAACTCAAGAGCATAGCTTTTGGGTTGCATTGTAGATTTGCAATATCCCATTCTGTGGCTAATTACAAATAGAGACGTGGCCAAGCTAGACTAGTCTAGTGGATATGGATCATGGGCCTATTCATGACTCAGCAATTTTGTATGCTCTCTATCCTCTGAACCCAAAAAATAAAAATAAAAAAGGGAAATAGCGGTATATGCCATATGTTTTTTGTTATGTATAACTCAAACCTATAATAGTTTATTATTTCATGTTCTATTTTTAAATAAATTAACGATGACACATAGTGGCGGATCTAGAAATTTTCCTTGTAGGGGTCAACATCTAAAAGGTAAAAAAATTATATACAAAATAGAACCAAAAAAATGAAACGATAATATTATAATTATTAATTAATAGAAAAAACCACATTACAATTGTCCACATTTAAAATTAAAAAAAAAATAAAAAAAACAACAACAACAACAATAATCAACCACATCATTCACTTCTAAAGTAAAGAAATCAAAGCTTCATTTTTCCACAGCAGAAGACTTTAGTTTGGCCCTCTTGATATCCTCTCTTGGGTTTTCACGCATTGCTTCTTGGGGCTCATAACTTGAGCTTC